ACTTAAAAGGGTACAGTGTTTATTACAGCTGATAAGGTCAAACCCTAGTCACCCTTTATATCTATTCAGATCTTTTCTTCCTCTCACCTGCTGTTGCTTCACCAGTTCTATTGGGGAGGGGAAGGAAAATGACATCAGCTCAAGGAAAATGACGTCCAGGTAGAAGGGCTGCGTGGGGAGGTCAGATGTTTTGACTATAAACAAAACTTTAGTCTACTTTGTGAGAGCCTCAGAAATTTTCAGATTTAAAACCAGGTAAGAAATAAGGCCACATAGGTGATGATCATATACACTTAGGCCTTAAGTAAGGTTTGTTGCTACCTTCACTTTCTTATTTGAAACACTGTTATACAGAAAGAAATAAGGGAACCCTCACAACAAGTGCTATTAATTGTGCTGGAATTTGTGACTCTCAGCTGGTAAAACACATCAGCTTCACTCCAGAGGGGCTCTTTACCCTTCCCAGGGACCCTGAATTGTCCCTGTCTATCCTACCTACCTCTTTCCATAGACTATGCCTCCATCCTCAAACTTCAGCTTTTTTCTTTTTTTCCTGTAACATCTCTGCCCAGTCAGAACTGGCCTCCACCATCAGATCCCCTCCAAATCTCCTCTTCCCTCAGAACCACTTCTCCCTACTTAGTCCCCAGACTTCTACAGACTGTGTCTCCTCCCTCAGACCTTCATCCCCTCCCTCAGACCTTCATCCCCTCCCTCAGACCTTCATCCCTTCCCTCAGACCTTCATCCCCTCCCTCAGACCTTCATCCCCTCCCTCAGACCCTCAATTCCGTCAGACTTTCACCTCATTAGATGATACTTCACTCAAGCCATAACAGCTTTCCTTCATACCTTTTCTTCTTCCCTTACACCACGCTGGCCTGTCTTCCCTACATAAACAATCCTCCCTCAAAGCATTTACCCATAGTTTATCTTCAGACAATGGAACCATGGGCACTGCATCTCCCAGCCCTTTGAGGTTCCTCTGAGCCAAGCCCAGAAACAGTCCTCTCCAGTACTGTGAGGACCAAGCCACAGTCCTGCCTGCTCCAGGGTCCAGGAAGCGGCAGAGTCAAGTGACCAAGCCCAACCCCTGGCCTTGGATTCCCTTTCTGTAGAATGGGCAGAGCTTCCCATCTCACACCTGTCCTGAGTTTGAGGGTCCCTGAAGGAAGCACTGATTGGTAGTAAAGCAGTCCTCCACCTTTCCAACACAGTTCCTTGATCTTGCTGTGCTGTGGCCCTACCACTCTGATAAGCAGGAGGTCACATCACCCCATCATCCAGAAAAATAAACTGAGTCTCAAGATTGAGACTGGCTTCTCTGGGGTCCCCCAGGTAGAAGGTGACCGGGAATGGAACCCAGGACCCTGCATGTAGCAGGCACACAGTGTACCACTAAACCCATTGGGTTTGGGATTTTTCTTTTGACAGGGTTTTACTAAATTACCTACTTTGGCCTTGAACTCACTCTGTAGCCCAGGCTGAAGTCAACCTTGGGATCCTTCATTCTGCAGCAGCCGCCTGAGTAGCTAGGATCGCAGTTGGGTATCACAAGGCTTGACTTGGAGGTGAGATTTGAATCCTGGTCTAGACTCTCTCCTAGGTTTCACCTTAACAGGACACTGAGAAGGACATCTAGGGAGGGACTGGAGAATGAAGGAATAGGACCTTACCCACAGCTGTGCCTGGAATCCTAAATCCCAGGTTAACCATCTACCTCAGATTTACTAAGTATCACTTGTATTCTGAGGGCAATGGGTAGGTACAGAGAACCTGCTAGAGACAGACACATTCAGCATTTCTAGGAATACTCTCCCACCCTAGACCTGTTGCTGGGAGGCATATGAAGGAGGCAAGAGAGACATAGGGGAGCTCGTTCCTTCACTTACACAAAGAAGGTCATACAGCTGGCCCTGGTGGTACATGCCAATAACCCCAGCTACTTGGGAGGCTGAGGCAAGTGGATCTCAATGTTAAAACCAGCCTGAGCTACAGAGGGAGACTGTCTCAAAAACTGCTTAAAAAGAAATTTTAAAAGGGCAGGGGGGGGGGTTGAGGGTATGGTTCAGTGGGCAAAAGCCCCTGATGAAAAAGCCTGATGACATGAGTTCAGATCCCCAGAATCCATAATCCAGTATTACACAAATATAACTACCAGCACTCATAACAGTGATTTAAGAGGCAGAGATTTTTTTTTAATTGACCAGAAGCTTGCTGGGCATAGTGGTATACATCTTTAATCCCAGCACCTGGAAGGCAGAGGCAGGTAGATCTCTGTTAGTTCAAGGTCAGCCCAGAGTTCCAGGCCAGCTGGGGCTACAGGGAGACTCTGTTTTAAAAAGCCAAAAAATAAAATAAAATAAAAAAAATAAAATTAAATAAAATAAATAAAATTAAATAAAATTTAATAAAATTTAATAAAATAAAATAAAAAATAAAATTGACCAGAAGCTCAAGGGCCAGCTTGGAATACTCAGCACAGCAGGAAAAACAACACAGACTCTCCCTCAAACAAGGTGGAAGGTAAGAACCAACTCCCTAAAGTTATCCTCTGACCTCCATACAACTGCACTCACATTCACACACACACACACACACACACGACTAGGGATGTGGCTTAGTGGCACAGCATATGACAGCAGGCACAACTCCCTAAGTTCGAGTCCCAGTACCACTTCCTTACACCCTGCACCTTGCCTGCTTCCCTCTGAGTACAATGAGTGTAGCTGTATAGAATTCCATCATCCTCCAGTGATGAATCTCAGAGAAGAGCTGGGAGGCTCTAAAGCAGCCTCCAGCCTTTCCAGGGAAATTCCTTACCCCTTGCCTTATTGTATTTCTTCTACCCTGGCAGGGAAGGGGTGAAACTGCCCCATTCTACAAAATGACAAACTGAGTCTCAAGAGAGGGCACTGGCTTCTTTGAGGTCTCCCAGGGAGAAGGTGACTGGGAATGGAACTCAGGGCCCTGTGCAAGGCAGGCAAGTACTCTACCATGGAACTGTACCTTTTGGTTTTGTTTGTTTGAGACATGGTCTCACTAAATTATCCAGATTAGCCTTGAACTTGATCAGTAGCTCAGGCAGGTCTAGAACATTTGATCCTTCCTCCTGACTCACCCTCCTCAGCAACTGAGATTACATGACTACACAACCAAGCCTGGCTTAGAGGTGAGATTTGAATACAGGTCTTGGCCCCCTCCCCTGTTTTATTTTAATAGAGGCACTGAGGGAGGCATCCACACAGAGATGAAAGTGTGATAAAGTGGTGATGATTACACAGAGTAGCCACTTAGGTGGCGTTTCAGCCAGTCAAAGGCCATTTTCAAGGCTCCAAACCTACGTTAGCGTCTTAGACAGAGGTTACCAAGCACATAGAGAAACAGTTGGGGAGACAAAAAGGGACAGACAGCTGGAATTGGTGGTTCACCTCTGATAATACCAATGGTTGGGAGGCTCAGGGAAGAGGATTGCTATAAGCTTGGAGCCAGTTGGGACTACAAAGTGAGTTCCAGGTCAAACTTGGCTACAGAGTAAGATGTTTTCTGAAAATAACAAACAAAATTGAATGAGCAAGGGATCAGAGGGACATATCTGCAAACGGGGACGCCCACACTGAGAGAAGCCACCCCTTTGCCCATCCCCCCACCCAGGCAACTTTGGTTGGAGTCCTCATTCCCCTACCCTGCTGAATCTCCAAAGCCTTCCCTGTGATTCACTGACCAGGTCTCAACCCCAGCAGTGGCCTTGTCCCCAGAGAAAATTTGAGAAAACCAACTTGTGGCCATACCCAGGATGGAGAATTTGAAGAAGTCTACTCCCTATCTTGTGCTTCAGAATCATGTCCCTAGCTGAGCCCCAGCTGGACCTGTTTCTCATTGGCCAGCCCCTCTGTGGGGTGGGAGAAGTTGACAGAAGTCAACCCCCTGCTCCACCCACAGGCCAGGCCTAGGGCCCTAACTGTCACCTGATGGTCTCTCTCTCGGGATCTCTGCACCTGTCTCCAAGTTTCTTTCACTCTGTGTGTATACTGGATTCTCCTGACACTACCTTCTGCTCTGAGTTTCTGGCTGGTTGAACTCAAGGAGAGACACATTCAGAGCTTCCACATACCCCTTAATCACCCTCAGACTCACTGCTGGTAGGTGTGTGGAGAGTGTCAAGGTATAGCAGGAAAAGTAGGACAGCTGGTTGCTAGGTACATGCTACTTGCCAGTCCCTCTCTGGTCTCACCTCTGCACTTCCACAAAGAATTGAAACCAGCCCTTATGGTGTAGGGCAGTAACCCCAGCTATTTGGAATAGTGAGGCAGGAGGATTGCAAGTTCAAGACCCACCTAAATTACAAAATGAGAGCCAGACTAAAAATAAAGTAAAATTAAAACCAATCAGTCACTGGTGAGAGGCTCAGTGGTAGAGCTCTTGCCTTAAAGGCAAGAACTCCTCGGTTCCAACCCCAGTAAAACACACACACACACACGAGGGAGGGAGTGGGGATACGGAATAGGGAGAATTTGCTAATTAGGGTCACTGACTGAGAAAGTGGTAATCTAGATTCCAACCCAAGTCCTAGCAACACCAATGATTCTAATGCCTGGTGGGGAAGAGGTGGTGAGAGACCCAGATATAGACTAGGGACGGTAGAACCAAAGGGGTATGTCGCTCACACGCCTAGATTCAGGCAGACACGGAGATCACCCGCACCTAGGCAGACACAAAAACCCAGACGTGCACGCGTGGCGCAGGGTCCGGGAAGCCACAGGGGTGGGCAGTCCCGAAGAGGGCTGACCAAAGTCCCTCGGCTGCAGCCGGCTGCAGGGCGCCTGGCCTAATCTTCTTCCCAAGCCGCGGTCAGCCGCAGCCGCAGGGGATCGGAGGAAAGTGGCAGCGGGACACAGCTTCCTGCCAGGACGCCGCGCTCACCATTTCCGGTCTCCCTCCCTGCCAGGACGCCGCGCTCACCATTTCCGGTCTCCCTCACTGCCAGGACGCCGCGCTCACCATTTCCTGCTTCCTGGACATCCGCACCCTCACTCTGGCTCCCGCAGCAACGTGTCGACGATGCTAGAGGACAAGACAGAGACTCCCTGGGCTCCCGAGGAAAGTGGAAACGCTGGACAGATTCCAGGACGTGGAAAGATGGCGGGTCGGAGATAGGTAAAGCCCACCACCTAACGTCTGCCGGCCCGCGTGGACATTCCTACAACAACGCCTCCCATTGGACTGCGCTTCAGGCCCGTGACCTTCAGTGACAGTAGATGGCAGGCACCTAACAGAACGGAAGCAGAATGCCCGCATTTACTTTAATGCAGGACTTCCCCTGGAAGATCCTAACCCGTTGAAATTTTTACCTTTGCCCTGTACCTGTGGCTGCATCAACTTCTAGATTATATATATATATAAAAATATATATAAATATATGACATATATATCGTATATATAATTCACAAACTGAGCAGATGATTACAAATGCCAGCCTGGCAGGAAGACAATCTTTCAGAGATAAAGCCTGCCTCCAACTTTCTGTGTGCTTGATTGTAAATTCCCTGCAGTAGGGGCTCTGATTGGACAGCGCTTTAGGTCCCAACCCCTCAGATCCTGAGTGACAGTAGATAGTCGGGAAAGAAAGGTGAATGAAGTAAGAATGACAAGTTCAGGGCCCGCAGATGGCTCAGCGGTGAAGACTGAAGGCGCTCGTCACAAAGCCTGATATCAGAGTTCGATCCCCAGAACCTACAAGGTGAAAGAAGAAAACCCATTGCTACAAGTTGTCTTCAGACCTCCACTCAAGCGCCGTGACACAGGTGTACAAGCACACACACACAAAAATATAATAAACAGATAATGTAAAGTTCTTGCCTTCAGGTCTTTTAAGGCAGGGCTTGCTCTAGGAGATCCTAGCCCATTGAAGTGCCTGGACTGGAGAGATGGCTCGGCGGTTAGTGCTCTTGCAGAGGACCTGAGTTTGATTCCCGGCACCCGCATGGTAGGTAACAGCTGTCCATAACTCCGGTTCCAGGGGAATCCAACGCCCTCTTCTGACTCCGAGGGCATTACACGATGCAGGTGCACTTACACATATGCAGGCAATACACACAACATAATAATAAAATATTTTTAAAAAGAAATATATGTATATATCTTATTCGAAGTATAAATAATATCACAATATTTTGTAATTCCCTGCAAAAATCTTCTAACTCCATTTTGAGGACACAACCTGAATTTTGAAATAGGAAGCAATCCCCTAATCCAATAAAAACAAAATAGCACGTCAAGGTATACATTATTGCTTGTCTACTTGTTTTTGAGATCTGGTTTTAAGTAGCCCAAGATGGTTTCAAACTTAGTATGTAGCAGAGGCTGACTTTGATCATCTGATCCTCCTAATTCCTAGTACCACCTCTCTGGTACTAGGATCATAGATATTAATCAAGTGTTGACTGTAAACTTTTTTAATTTAAAAATTGATTAGGCTGTTCGTGGTGGCGCACGCCTGTAGTCCCAGCACTTGGGAGGCAGAGGCAAGCAGATCTCTGTGAGTTCAAGGCCAGCCTGGTCTACATAGTTCCAGGACAGCTGGGGCTACAGGGAGACCCTGCTTCAAAAAGACCAAAAATAAAATAAATTGATTAGGGGCTTGAGAGGTAGCTTCGCAGTTAAGAATACAGACTGCTTTTGTAGAAAACCCAAATTTGGTTCCCAGAACTCACATTGGGCAACTTACAACTGCCTGTAACTCCAGCTCCAAGGAACCCAACACATCATTCTGGCCTCCATGAGTACTACATTTGCATGTACCTACTCACAGAGACACACATATATAAATAAATAAAGGTAAAATCTTTAAATTTTTTTCAATTAGTATAAAAAGCAGGGCTGGAGACATGGCTCAGTGTTTAAGGGCACTTGTTGCTCTTGTGGAGGACTGGAGTTCAGTTCCTAGCATCCTCATTTGACAACTCACAACTGCCTGAAACTCCAGTTCCAGGGGTTCTGATGCCCTCTTCTGACCTCTGTAGATATCTGCAAACACATGAATATACAGGCAAGCAGGCATACACACATAAGCATAAAAATAAGTAAATTTTATTTGAAAAGTACCATTCCCTTCCCACATTGCCTTTCTCCATTCCCCTGGCCTCTCTCTGGCTCTCTTCCTTTTCCAGATAATGCTTACCTAGATTTCATGTCATGTGCATTCCAACAAATGTAAATTCAATTTCTTCTAGTATTCACTTTTTTCAAGAGACTTATAGCAATTGGAATAATAAAGAAACGCACCACAAAGCAAATAATTTCCATCCCTTTAGTATTTGTAGGCTCTTCATGATTTCCAACACACACAAAATCAAATTTCTGTTCTTTAATCATATGCCTTTAAAAGCAAGTTACAGTAATGTTTGTCCACTGAGGATGCATTTGCTTTTGCAGAAATGTAGCTGAACAAGGGAGTACATCTTGAATTTATTGTTTGATTTTAGCAAGCCAAAGCTATTTTTCAACTACCAGGAGCTGAGATGTTGAGATAGACAAAGCCACATAACACATACCAGTGTCATACACAGCTAATGCATTTCAAACCTGGAACTTGTGGTTCTAACACCTGCCTGCGTCTGTACTGACTGCTTCTACACCCTCTCCTAGTAGCACTTTTTTTTAATGTGTATGAGTGTATTGCCTGCATGTATGTAAGTTGTTCTGTGGCTGTGAGGGTCATAAGAGAGCATCAAATGCCCTGGAAATGGAGTTACAGATGGTTGTTAGCTGCCATGTGGGTGCTGGGAATTAAACCCGGGTCCTCTGTAAGAGCAACCCTGAGCCATCACTCCAGCCCCTTTAAATCTTCCAAACTTATTATAATGAACGAAAGAAATAAGAATCACAGTTCTGGGATCCTGTCATCAATATTTTTAAAGCTCTCCAGATGAATTTGGTGTGAGACCAAGACTCAAAACCATTGCTTTCAAACATTGTCTTTGTTGAACTACTTGCAAGCTGTTTCTAAAGGAATACGAAAAAGTTTTCTGCTGTATTTTGGACTTTAAGTGTTACCTAATCAGTTTAAGTTACTTAACCTGACCTCTAATACTTTGTTTCTGATTGAACCCAGTTCCACATGTCCAGTGATGTTCAGAGAATTGTTCAAATTGTTCTTTCCATAATGAGCATTCTTGTAAAGTGAGTATTTGGGGGAAAGAGTGAGAGGGAGAAAGAGCGGAAAAGAAAAAAAGAAGAAAAAAGAAAACTGAAAAAAATTTAAAGTCATGCCTCTCACAAAATTAGGCAAGCACTGACAGATCTAGAAGTCACTCAAGGATTGGAACATTAATAATTACCTTAAAGTATTAAAGTCATTCCTGTGATGATGATAAATAATGCAGAAATACATTATTACTCACTAAAATCCACACTCTACATAAGGGCTCCCTCATTGCTTTGTGTAATTCTCCAAGTTTTCAGAAATACAATGCCATGTATCCACAGTCATAGGATTACCTAGAATAGTTTTACTGCCTTAAAATGGCCTGTGCTTTACCTGTTCATTGCTCTTCTCATTCTGCATCCATGAATTCTTAGGAAATCACTGGTTTTTTTAATGCCTCTAGTGTTTTTCATTTTCCATAAAATTGTATTATTTGGAACCGTGCTTCCATATCTGGCTCTAGAGTCCTATTTTCTTCCATTGGGGTATTTTAATCATATGATAAAGCAGGACCTTTCCTTCCTTTTTCTATCCTGTCTTTGGAGACAAGGTCTCACAGTACACCAGCCTCAAACTCTGGGCAATCACTTTGCTAAGTGCTGGAAGTACAGATGTGTCACCATGCCTTGCCCAAACCTTCTTTAGAGGGCAGTAGTTGAGTCTAGGCCTACCATATAGTCCAGAATGGCCTGGTATATTCTATGTAGTTCACACTGCTTCAAACTTGCAGCTTTCCTCCTCCTTCAAGTTCCCTAGAGCTAGGATAACTAGTGTGTGCCAATATGTGTAGCCAGAACCTTCTTCCTTATCCCCCCACCCTCCTCTGCTACTGACTGAAATGAGGAGGGCTGGGAATTTCCTTTCCCTCTTTCTGGTGAAACCTAGTAGCAGGGACACTTTATGGAGGCTCAACATGGTTCTCAGCCTGGTGCTTTTCTTGGTCAGCCCAATCTGGAGTCGTCTTGGGGGTCAGACATGCACACTAGGCCAATATTTGCTCACCTATTACCCCAGTGCCACCAAGGCACTGAGTGTCCATGGCTCAGTTGTGTGCCAGTCTCCTCAGGGTATTTCCATGTCAAATGTCAAAGAAAACTACAGGAGAAGGAGCCACACCACCATCCACAGAAGCCTGGAGGGCAGCATAGGGTATGCCAGAAGCCACATTAACAAAACCCAAGAGAGTAAGGCTCAGAGCCAGCTCTATGTGGTGCCAGAGTTCTGGAACTTTGCACAGGGGGATGAAAATGAAAGCTGGAGACTCTGATCTACCAGGAAAGTATACCAGAAGAAAACTACAGGAGAAGGAGCCACACCACCATCCACAGAAGCCTGGAGGGCAGCATAGGGTATGCCAGAAGCCACATTAACAAAACCCAAGAGAGTAAGGCTCAGAGCCAGCTCTATGTGGTGCCAGAGTTCTGGAACTTTGCACAGGAGGATGAAAATGAAAGCTGGAGACTCTGATCTGCCAGGAAAGTATACCAGAGCTTTATTGCAGACTCAGTAAATTTACCCAGTCATCACATTTGAATTTTTGCTGTCATTATATGATGACCTAGAGGGGCACACTGAGGACCAGAGAAATACAGTATATAGAAAGCAGAGCTGAGAGTCCAAAGCCCATGTGGTAGGTTGTGTTCTGTTGAAATTAGACACTGTGCTAGAAAGCTTTAGTTGTCAACTTGACACACCTGTGTTGAGGGAACCTAAATTGGGGAATTACCTCCATTGGACTGGCCTGTGGCTATGTCTGTGGGGCATTTTCCTGATTGTTGTCATGTGGGAGGGCCCAGCCCACTGTGGGTGGTGCCATCCCCAGGCAGGTGGTCCTATATTGTATAAGAAAGCAAGTTGAGAACAGGCCAGGGAAGCAAGCCAGTAAGCAGCATTCCTCCATGGCCTGTGCTTCAGCTCCTGCCTCCAGTTTCCTGCCCTGAGTTCCTACCTTGGGCTCCCTCAGTGATGAACTGTGACTCAGAGATGTGAGCCAAATAAACCCTTTCCTCCCAAAACTGGTATTGGTCAGAGTGTTTTATCATAGCAGTTGAAAGCAAACTAGAACAGAGACTTTAGTTGTTCTGGGGGTACAAAATATGAATGGGGCACAGCACCTGAGAAAAGAAAGGGAAAGATGGGGATTATCATGATGGAACCCGTGACTTTTTTCAAC